ATCTTAAGCCCCGAAACCTTACCCCTGCACTCTGCGCGTAGCTTGCTCATTGATTGTCACGGCTAGGATTCGAGCCCCCCGGCCCCGGACTGAAGCTACTCCAAGTGGCACCTCAAGGGACTAAAGGAGGGACCCTTACAAGAGACCTTAGGGTTTATTTAGGGGTATTTTGGGGGGCTACTTGGGTATATAGTGTCTCTTTTTTTGTATAAGGTATATATATATATATATACATTATATATAAGGGTTATATAGGGGAGTAAGATAAAGGGTCCCTTCTTCTAGGGTCCCTCCTTTTACCCCTTTAAGCCACACGGCCTGGGCACGAAGTCTCCGAGGAAACTGGTGGTGCACGGCGAGCCCTGCTGCGCCGCCTGGCCTGCGTGCCGAGGGTTCTGGGGTTTAGGGTTTAGAGTTTAGGGTTGCGACTCAGGGTTAAGGGTTTAGGGTTTAGGGTTTAGGGTTTAGGGTTTAGGATGTGGGGTTTGGGGTTTAGGGGTTGGGGTTTGTGGTTTAGGGTTGAGGGCTTGGGGTGCCGGTTTTTGGAGCCCTTTTTCTTGGGGGATATGCTACTCCTGGGTCATTCTTAGGAACCCTTAAAGGGATGTACTTGTGGGATCCTCCCGAAAAAATTCTGGGAAATACCCCGAACCCTAAACCCTAAATTTAGACCCTAAACCCTAAACCCAAAAACCCAAAACCCTAAACCCCCCCAGGTTTTGCAGCCGCCGTCGGCGTGGTGACCCCGGTCTTCGTGAGCCTCATGGCTCTCTGGGTTGCTTGGCGCTGAAGCAGATTCAGGCTTGTAGGCTTAGGGTTTATAGGGTTAGTGTAGGGTTTAGGGTTTGGGGTTTGGGGTTTAGGGTTTAGGGTTTGGGGTTTAGGGTTTAGGGAACGCCAAATTCGTGTCAGACGGGTCAAAACGCCAAATTCGTGCTGAACAATGGGGGTCTAAATGGGTCAGACGGGTCAAAACGCCAAATTCGTGCTGAACAATGGGGGTCCAAATGGGTCAGACGGGTCAAAACGCCAAATTCGTGCTGGGCAATGGGGGTCCAAGTGGGTCAGACAGATCAAAGCGCCAAATTCGTGCTGAACAATGGGGGTCCAGATGGGTCAGATGTGTCAAAACGCCAAATTCGTGCTGAACAATGGGGGGGCAAATGGGTCAGACGGGTTAAAACGCCAAATTCGTGCTGAACAATGGAGGGCCAAATGGGTCAGACGGGTGAAAACGCCAAATTCGTGCTGAACAATGGGGGTCGAAACGCCAAATTCGTGTTTAACATTTAGGTGTGTATGGTAGAGAGGTTTAGGGTTTAGGGTTTAGGGTTTAGGGTTTAGGGTTTAGGGTTTAGGTTTTTACTTAGTAGCCCAGTGGTACCTTTTGCCCTTTTTTGGTTATGGGTTCCCTTACAAAGTAACCAACCCAAAAAAAGGTGCCCTTATTAGAATATGGTTACTGGGCTACTAAGAGTAGTATTCACTTCTGATCCCTTTATTAATATAAAAAACAACCCGAAACCCTCTTCTACTTATTCAGGCTCCTATAGGCTTCGCGCGGCCCCCTCGTTGTAGAAGCAGCCAGTGCAGTATTCAGTGCTTAGGCAACTGCCCAGAACCAGATAAATTCTAACTAGGGGTGTTAGGGACCCTAAACCCGAAACCCTAAACCCTAAACCCTAAACCACTCTTTCATATATAATATAAATGTTAATGGCTTTGCGGGCAAGGTCCGAAAATTAGTGGGCAAGGTCCGAAAATTAGCGGGCAAGGTCCGAAAATTAGCGGGCAAGGTCCGAAAATTAGCGGGCAAGGTCCGAAAATCAGCGGGCAAGGTCCATTGGCTGCCCCACGACCTTGCCCACTAATTTTCGGACCTTGCCCGCTGACCCACGACCTTGCCCACTGATTTGCGGACCTTGCCCACTAATTTTCGGACCTTGCCCGCTAATTTTCGGACCTTGCCCGCTAATTTTCGGACCCGGGAAAGGCCCGAAAATTAGCGGGCAAGGTCCGAAAATTAGTGGGCAAGGTCCGAAAATTAGCGGGCAAGGTCCGAAAATTAGCGGGCAAGGTCCGAAAAAAAGCGGGCAAGGTCCGAAAATTAGCGGGCAAGGTCCGAAAATTAGCAGGCAAGGTCCGAAAATTAGCGGGCAAGGTCCGAAATTTAGCGGGCAAGGTCCGAAAATCAGTGGGCAAGGTCCTTGGCCCCCCCCTGCCCCCCCCCTGCACCCCCCCTGCCCCCCCCCCCTGCCCCCCCCCCCCCCTGGCCCGCCCCCCCCCCCCCCCTGCCCCCCCCCCTTGCCCCCCCCCTGCCCCCCCCCTGCCTCCCCCCCGCCCCTCCGCCCCCCTTCTTTGGGTCATTTGCAAAGCCACTGGCTCCGCCCCCCTTCTTTGGGTCATTTGCAAAGCCACTGGCTAGCATGAGGGTTGAGGAGCCCTAAAATTTAGGGTTCAAGGGTTCAGGGCTGAGGGTTCTACGGTGGTTGAAGGTTCAGGGACGAGAGCGTAGGGTTAAGAATTTGGGTTGCGTGTGAAACTTTTATGATCTAATGGTATGGGATTCTCTGGGTGGGTGGGTACTTTTCGGGCGCTTGAAAAGCTGCCAGCCTAGTGAATGCTTGAACTTTGAGATGCTGAACCTTAAACCCTAAACCCTAAACCCTAAACCCTAAACCCTAAAAGTTTCAGAGAACCCCGGAGCTCAGGTCGGTGCCATCCTGGCAGCTGTGGAGGGCTGGCCGCTGGGAGACGGCTTCTGGCGCCTGGGGCGAGGGCTTTAGGGTTTAGGATTGAGGGTTTGGGGTTTAGGGTTTGGGGTTTAGGGCTTGGGGTTTGGGGTTTAGGGTTGGGGTAGGGCTTGGGGTTTGGGGTTTGGGGTTTAGGGTTTGGGGCGAGACTGTTCAAAGCTCCAGAGCTGGGGAGCAATGAATATGGAGGGCTGGGCCCCCAAAGGCCCCGAAGGCCCCCCAAAGGCCCCAAAGATCCCAAAGACCCCAAAGACCCCCAAAGGGCCTCAAGCCCAAACGTGCCCAAGCCTTAAACCGCGAGGTGGAGCGTAGCTGCCCAACTTGGTGGTGGCATGTCGCTGAGACGCTGGCCGGGAGCTGGATCGTGTTTGTTCTTTTGAGGGCGTTGATCGGGCTGCAGACTTGAGGTTATGGAGGTTCGAGCATGTTCTTTGAGGTTTGAGACGACATGAAGGTGCTTTCTACTAGTTGCTTAAGAACCACCCCCCCCAAAAAAGAATAATAAAAAGACTCTTCCTTAAAGGGGCAATATAGGGATTTTTTTGGGGGGCTCTTAAGCAAATAGTAGTTTTTTGGATTTTTTTTACCATGCTCGGGTTCCGGTCTTCAGGGCTGCGGGCGAAAACTCTCCATCAGGTTGTGTGCCTTGCTGCAATCATGTACGCAGCTAACATTTCCATGACCTCCCTTCTTCTTCGTCTCTGTGTGTGTTTGCGTATGCATATATATATATATATATGTATGGTATGCCCCCCCCCCCGACCCCCGACCTAGGTTTTCTCAGGTACCGGCCTCAGATGACTTGCTGTAAAGTCATGAGCAAGAAAGGATCGCAATGGAGATGGCGGCACTGCTGCTGGACGTCTTTCCCAGCAAAAAGCTCCAGGACGGCCGTTGCGGCCCCTTCTGGGCAGCGAGCAGATCCTCTGCAGGGGCTCCCTGCTCCAGGACAGTGGAACCACCATCGACCTCGACGAGGGGGGGGGGAGCTAGGATTGAAACGGGAACTTGGCTGGTTGTGGTTTGGGTGTGCTGGATGGTGGATCGAGAACTGTAGCCCTGAAGCCCGAACCCTAATCCCTATAAGCCCCCCAAAACCCTACAACTGCGGTTTAGCCCCCAATCCTTCCTCAGCCCGCGCTGGCGCTTTCAGCACTAGCGCTGATCCCTATACAAAACGGGACGAAACTAAGAGTAAGTTCGTGAATTAAACTAGGTACCGGTGCCACCTTAGCTAGCACGGTTCATTTAGCATGATACGCGGGCCTTGGGACTTCTGACTGCTAGAGAAGCCCCTACCCTTAACTCAGCTCCTAGAACCTTAATACAGGCCTCAAAGATATAGCGTCCCCCTGGCCCAAAACCCTGATCCTAGACATCCCTATAAAAAGCGCTCAGCCCTAACCTGCAAAACACTACAAGCCCCACAACCACCATAAACCCGGTCAGCCCTGTAAGCCCTTTAAGTCCCATAAGCCCTTTCATCTAAACAAAGCCGTGCTGTGAAGACCCACAAAACCCTGAACCCGTTCCGGCCAGCAGCTTCGCTGTGGTGGCCCCAGTCATGGGCGATGGGTTAGTTTAGGCGTAGGATTGGGAGATTTATGTTCGGGGTTCCAGAATAGGTTTGCTGTCGTCATTTCTTGTAGCGTGGTCTTCTAGAGGGTAGGGGGCCAAGTTATCGTTAAAGCTTAGACCCAGACTCGAAGCAGCCCTGGAAAGGCCTTGCCTTGTCCTGGCTACTGCCAAAAAGTACGCGCTCGCTTTCCAATCTCCTCAGTAGGTGGCCACCATCAACCAGTAAGTCTTTGCAGTGCTAAAATGTGTTGCAGCGTTGCGTCTCACAGTTGAGTATCGCTTGCGCTCCAAGAGCTGCCAGCCCTTTCTGAGCATTCTGTTTGATGCTCAAAGTCTTTTGATTTCCTAGGCGCGACACTTTGCGCCGCAATGGCCAGCAGGGCTCCACATCGTCCAGTGTCTCTGGCACAGTCCATGGCGCGATTACCTTTGATGAGGCAATCTCTCACACTGATGTCCTCAAGAGAAGCCCATCGTTGTGCACAAAGAGCCGGGCTGCATCACGTGCATCACGGTCGGAAATCTCCCGGCCAAGGATGAGATCACCGATGAGGTAAAAAGGCGCAGTTCCTCGCTGGACTCATGAACTGGGAGGGTTAATTGGCCTTCCAGAAGATCGAAGAGTTGTTTTTCCAACAACACTACAGTGATCTCCCACATCCTATCCGCATGAACGGTCAAAACGAAACGCCCTACGACAGGCAGGTTTTCATCGTTCCCAAAGGAGAAAACAAGTGGGATATCGTCAAGCGCATTAAGTTCGCTGAAGGGACAAAAGTGCTGCGCAGCAGTATCCGCAGCATGTGCACAGGGAGGACCCTCGAGATTGAGTACTGCAAGCAGTGCCGAGAGGGTGGCCGTGCTCTGCAGTATCGCCTTGGGGGTGCATCTTGGGGGGGGGGGGGGCGACCACAAATATTTATATACACAGACATACATATATACATATATATATATATATGTGTGTGTGTGTGTGTGTGTGTGTGGGTGGGTGGGTGGGTGTGGGTGGGTGTGGGTGTGTGCGTGCGACTGCGAAATCTGTCTCTTTTAAGCCTTAGCCCTAGACCGTGTCACCCTAAACCCGAAACCCGAAACCCTCAACCCTAAACCTTAAACACTAAACCCTAAACAGCGGAAAACCCGGGTCCAAGCGATCCAGTCCAAGGCAGCGTTGCCGTGCAGACCAGCTCGGGGAGGCCCCTGCCCCCATTACCTGGAGATTCAGGGTACTTATAAGCAATAGTAGAGTTTAGGGTTTAGGGTTTAGACAGTGCCCTTCATGGGGTGAGCGAAACAGAGTCGCAGAGTCGTTCTTGAAGGGGTTGAGGGTTTAGGGTTTAGGTTTAGGGTTTAGGGTTTAGGGTTTAGGTTTAGGGTTTAGGGTTTAGGGTTTAGGGTTTAGGTCTAGGGTTTAGGGTTTAGGGTTTCAATCTTTTGAAGTCCAATATTAAACTAGGGACGCCACAAAAAGTGAAAGACAGAGGGTACCCTCAAAGGACGCCGCATTTAATATCATTTTAAGGGTTTTTTTGCACGCTCCCTATAAACTACATTAAATTCACACGTTCGTTTCACTCGCTTGTTATTTAATATAACCACTCGTGCAGTTTCAGGCGTAGTTTTTTTGCCGTTTGCCATTGGTCTACAACCCTCCCAGGTCCTTGATACTTTCCCTAAACCCCTGAACCCTAAACCCTAAACCCTCCGAAAACTCTGCACAAAAGCTTCCTACTTGCCTGCGACATCTTAACCTCTGAGCTTGAAGCACTCCCTGAACCCCAAACCCTAAACCCCAAACCCCAAACCCTAAACCCTAACCCCTAAACCCTAAACCCTAAACCCTAAACCCTAAACCGCTACGATGCTGCAAGAGATCGGTGGAGGTTCCTGGGAACCATGGCGGCTGCCTGGAGCATCGGCGTGGCGGCGCTGTCGGTCCCGGAAGCTGGAGATGGGGTTTCGGGTTTAGGGTTTAGGGCTTAGGGTTTAGGGTTTAAGGTTTAGGATTTAGGGTTTCGGGTTTCGGGTTTCGGGTTTAGGGTAGGGGTGTAGCCTTGTGACAGGCAGAGAGGGCGACTTCAACATCTCGCATCGCGCAATTTTTTTTAAAGCCTGGGACGGAAGACTCCGTGGCCCTAGTATTTTAGGGGTCGGAATTAAGTACTAACAATATTCCCGTATGGTCCCTTTCTACTTATACTATAGTAACCCCCCAAAAACCCTATTCTCATTATTAAGGCCCCTATAGTAGCCCTAAACTCTAAACCCTAAAACCTAAACCCGAAACCCGAAACCCTAAACCCTAAACCCTAAGCCCTAAACCCTAAACCCTATTCTCATTTTTCCGGCTCCTTACAGTACTGAAACGCGGCCGAGGTCGGCATCGGGAGCTCCCCAGCCATGGAGCCGCCACTGGGAGCAAAGTTTTTGACGGCTGAGGCTCAGGAGTTGTGGTTGAGGGCTTTAGGGTTCAGGGTGTAGGGTTTGAGGTTTAGGGTTTAGGGTTTAGGGTTTAGGGTTTAGGGTTTAGGGTTTAGGGTTTAGGGTTTAGGGTTAAGGGTTAGGGTTTAGGGTTTAGGGTTTAGGGTTTAGGGTTTAGGGTTTAGGGTTTAGGGTTTAGGGTTTAGGGTTTAGGGTTTAGGGTTTAGGGTTCAGGAACATGTCCGATGTTGTCCAGAACATTATTTACGGTTTTTGCGGCGGGTTTTGTGCAGGATCCCAGGCCCAGAACAAGCGCCAAAAACCCAGTTCATATAGAGCAAAAGAAAAGCCCAAGCCCTGTAGCTAATTTTGGGCCATTGGGGGGTGTGGGGGTTTGCGGCCTAGGGCAAGTTTAGCCCTAAACCCTAAACCCTAAACCCAAAACCCTAAACCCTAAACCCTAAACCATGTTGAGCCTTGAACGCAAACTCCGAGGCTCATCCTCAGGCTCAAGGGCATGGCGCGTTCCTGGCAGCCCCTGAAGCAGCGAGTTTCTGCCCCCTTGGCTTTGATATGAAGAAGGAGGAACGTTTTTGGACTTCAGGCTTAAAAGTTTAGAGGTTTAGGGTTTAGGGTTCAGGGTTTCTATGATGGGCCTGCGGATGGGCCTGAGAGAGGTCTAGAAGCCTGCCCGCGTGCTCCGTCGTTGGGTTCAAGGGGTGCAAGCGTAGCTCTACAAAACTAAACCCTAAACCCTAAACCCTGAACCCTGAACCCTGAACCCTAAACCCTAAACCCTAAACCCTACGGAGGTTTCGATTCGAAGCTGCAAGGAGACAAAACGACGAGACATAGGAGGGACCTGCAGCTGCGATCCCGTGAGGTAAGCCTTGACCTCTCCCTCTTTCCGCCCAAACCCAAATCTGAAGCCCTGAACCCTAAACCCTAAACCCTAGACCCTAAGCCCTAAACCCTAAACCCTAAACCCTAAACTCTAAACCCTAAACCCTAAACCCTAGACCCTCAACCTAAACCCTAAACCCTAAACCCTGAAGCCTTCAAGTCCCCAAAGACCATCCGAAGCCCAAACCCCAAGAGCGTTTGGGTTTGGAGTTGGCAGAAGTCGAAGCTGTGAGCTAAGGTCCGATGCTGCGCAGGGCAAGTCACTCCTGATCCTCGACCCATAAACCCTCAACCCTAAACCCTACTTGGAGGTTCATGGTACTTCTTAACCAGTCATGACTGTACCAAAAACCCACTTCAAGTGCCCTAAGAAGGACAAAATTGGTTATAAGCACAGGTAGTATTAGGTCAATAAGTACCATGAGCCTCCAAGTAAACCCTAAACCCTAAACCCTAAACGCTAAACCCTAAACCCCAAACCCTAAACCCTAAACCCTAAACCAAGTGGCTTCCGCTCCAGAGACCGAAGGTTCTGGCCCCCCCCACCCCTTCGGGTTGCATCGTTCAAGGCATCGTATGGATGCGCACTCTCCTTGAAATTATGTTTAGGGTTTAGGGTTTAGGGTTTGGGGTTTAGGGCTTAGGGCTTAGGGTTTAGGGTTTAGGGTTTAGGGTTTAGGGTGCATTCGTGAGTAGTTCCGTGTGGCATAATTATGTTTTTGTCATAGCTGAAGCTAGTCTTAACCTTGTCTTGTAGCTAGCCCTGCATCTTCAAGCAGTTCTCATATGAAAGAGTTCAGGGTGGGGCTGGGGGGTGGAGGGCGCGGGCCACTTTGCGCTGCCATGAAACACGTGGCTGCGTCCACAAGAGTGTGTTCCAATGCGGCGAGCTCGCACTGGATCCCCTGCTGAGCAGGGTTTTAGTTTGAGATCCACATGTCAAATATCCACAGCAGCATCATGCAGCTGAGTTGCTTTGATTGCTCCGTGCTGGTATCAAAGTATTGGGAGTTCATCTTGGTTGCTTGTGTGGGCGAGGGCGAGGGGACAGCAGCTGCTCATAGCTCAAAACTTCCAAAGCTGGCTGTGCCCATCCCCGTAAGATTGCATGGTGTTTCCTGGTGTGCCAGTTGGGGTTTTTGTAATCCATTGTGCCCAATGCAAGACCTCGCATCATGGGAGCCTCACCATCTAAAGTGCATGCATACGGCGCCACGGAAGCCATAATCTCTCAAACCCGGCCTAAGCCTTACAACCTAAACCCCCCCTAAACCCTAAACCCTAAAATCTCCAAGCCGAAAGCCCAAACCCTAGAAATACCAAAAAGCGCCCCAAAGCATTCCAACGTTCTGCGCCCCCTCGCTACCAAAAGCTTAACAGAATCGGTTTTGGGTCTAGGGCCTAGGGTCTAGGGTTTAGGGTTAGGGTTTAGGGTTTTAGGGTTTAGGGTTTAGGGTTTAGCAATCCAACGCCCTGCAACAGGCCAGCTCCTTGGCATGGACGTGGGCAACGTGCTTCAGCTCACCCACTCCTTTGGCTACGTGCAGAAAGGCGACAGTTCAGGGTCTAGGGTTTAGGGTTTAGGGTTTAGGGTTTAGGGTTTAGGGTTTAGGGTTTAGGGTTTAGGGTTAAGGGTTTAGGGTTTAGGGTTTAGGGTTTAGGGTTCAGGGTTCAGGGTTCAGGGTTTAGGGTTTAGGGTTCAGGGTTTAGGGTTTAGGGTATAGGGTTAATAAGTTTGGGACCACGGTTTAGGGTTTGGGGTTTAGGGTTTGGGGTTTTTGGGATTTTGCTGGCTACCCGAAACCCGAAACCCTAAACCATGGAGAGAGGTTGCGTGTGGGCTTAAGGCTGGCTGTGGCGTCAGCGCCTTTGGACGTGTCGGCGCAGTTCTTCTCCTGTGTAGCTGAGCAGCTGGCGTTGAAAGCCCAAACCTCTGCAACTCCTACACTCAAACACCTGAGAAAAACTTAGAAGTCAAGGCACTGAACGCTTTTAAACGGCTCTCTGTCCCCGCCCCCCCCGAAGTGAAGACCCTAAACCCTAAACCCTAAACTCTAAACCCTAAACCCTAAACCCTAAGAGCTTAGGGGACCGGGGAACCTCCCTGAAAGCTCTTCCTGCGCCCACCTGCATCCTCACCTTTTCGCCAAGGGGCGGAGACGGAGACGCAGGGTCAGATCGATGAGGCAAAGGGGTCCAGAAAGATTTTTAGGGTTTAGGGTTTAGGGTTAGGGTTTAGGGTTTAGGGTTTATTTGCAAGAGTGAGGGTTTGGGTTCGGGGCATACAGTAAGGGGCTATAGCAAGCAGTAGGGTTGAGGCTTCCAGAGAGTTTAGGAGTCTAGCAGGTTGAGCCAAAGGTCAGACTTGTGAAGAGACGTCGCATCTTGGACAGGGCTTTTAGTCGCCATCGGCCCTACGTGGTTCCAGCGCCCTAGTACTCCCTAAACCCTATAAACCCTAACCCAGACCCAAAACCCTACACCCTAAACCCGAAACCCTAAACCCTAAACCCTCAACCCTAAACCCTAAACCCTAAACCCTAATCCCTAGTCCCTATGGACCCGAAGCCTTATAGCCCTAAACCCAAATCTCCCTCACAGCCTTGTGGCTGCCACGCTAAATCCTGAAGATCCTTCAAGCGAAGGCTTTCGGGGTTTGGTGGCTTGGGGGTTTAGGGTTTATGAATTTGCAGAGCCTGCTTTCTCAGAGTCAAGTGTTTGGCTTTGCAATCCAGCTTCACAGAGTCTTTTGTTCGGGTCGTTGCGGGTTTCGGGCTGTAGGCTCGCAATGGAGCGCGCCAGAGCTTCTCATTGGATTCATTTGACGCTGCTCAGAATCGGTGCCCCAAACCTAGCACTTAAACGCACCACACCTCAGAACGCTGCCCCGATGCCCCAAACCCTGGCACACAAGCCTCACGGCATTCACTTTCAGGCTGTCCGGTCTACGGACCCTGTGAACCCCAAAACCATGAAACCCAAACTCTACACGCTCTAATTTTTCAGACCCAGCCGAGGGATCCATGCTAAGCTAGGGCCCCTTTGGGTTCCCTCTTTCAAGAGATGTTCCGAGGTTTGTTTTGCCCAAATGTGGACCCCAGTTTAGAGGACACACATCCACATGCCAACAATGCCAGGGCGTTCAGTTTCAGATGGACACGCTGAGAAAGTTGCGAGAGGCGAAGTGTGTGAATGGTTTTACTATTACTTTTGCCAGAACTATGAACACTATTCCTACAATCATTATTAGCGCTGCTGCTGCTGCCACCCACGGCGACTACGACGACGATTCCTACTGCGACGTCTTCTGCTGCTGCTACTGCTGCCGCTGCAGCTACTGCTGCGCTACTTAGTGCTGCTGCTACCAGTGCTGCTACTATTACTGCTACTCCCACTACCACTACCACTACCACTGCCACTACCACCACTACTACCACCACCACCACCACCAGTACCACCACCACTACCCGACCAAACTACCCCTTCCCGATCACCATCATGGTTGCTACTGCTTGTATGACTATTCCGACATTTATTACTATTATGACACTACTACCATTCGCATACCCTTTGCCAATGATATTTCTACTCCTGCTATTGCTACTAGTCTGCTAGGACCACGAGACATTGCTATCACTCTGCTTGCTATTGCTACTAATTTGACTTAGACTTGTCTTGCTTTCTTACGATACAAAGACATGTCGATAATAATTTACGTGTTTTTACCACCCTTATCACTATTCTATGAACGCTGCTACTTCGGCCTTCCGGTTTTTTGAAGGTTTTGGGGTTCAGGGCTACGGGTTTGGTCTAACAGGGCACCTCTCGTTTGTGGCAGCGAAGTTGTGCCCCTGGTTATGTTCTATGAGCCATAAGCCCGGTTTAGGGTTTAGAGTTTGGGGTTTGGGGTTTAGGGTTTAGGGCCGGGTTCTTGGAGGTCTCCGGCTTGCGTGTTCGGCAATTGAAAGGCTTGCTAGGGGTTTAGCATGGACATCTTTGGGGAAACCACCTAGACGGGGCTGGCGCAGGGGTCATATTGACACGAAGGCTCCCTTGGGAGAAGTAGGGTTTTGCGTGCCTCGTACTTCACAACTCATGGTAGGATCAAGGGGTTCTACTTCGGGTACAAGTGAGGCTGACGAAGTCCCAAAGCCAGCAAGTGCTTAGATGTTTCCTCCATCAACAAGGGGGCAGGCGATTCTCAGCTCTACGGTTTTGACAAGAACCAGTAGAACAGTCTTTATCTCATGCTATGGCAGAGGCATCCACAGCCTCGCACCCCTACACCCGAAGCCCTGAAACGTAAACCCTAAACCCTAAACCCTAAAGCCTAAACCCTAAAGCCTAAACCCTAAACCCTAAACCCTAAACCCTAAACCCTAAGCGCCCTAGACCCCTATGGCGAGGTGAACGTCGACTCGAACACGGTGGGTTGGTATCAGACGACCCACCTCGGACAGCCCCTCTCCCAGCACTCCACCGAACCCAAACGCATGCCTTTAGGGGGTTTAGGGTTTAGGGTTTAGGGTTCTAGGGTTCTAGGGTTCTAGGGTTTAGGGTTTAGGGTTTAGGGTTTAGGGTTCAGGGCTTGGGTGACATGAAATGAAAGCTCCCCCCCTCCAGAGATACCTTTGTAAACCCAGAGATAAATAAATGCTCAAACCCTAAACTGCGCCCCTCAGCCCTAAACAAGCTCTGTGTTTCCGAGGTTCATCAACAAGGACGTCATCCACTCGCAGCAACTTTGGCCCAGGGTTGGACTTGAACATTCTGCTTGGAAGTGGCTTAGGGTTAAAGAATGTGGTGTTTGTTGGGTGGGGAGCTTGAGGGATGAAAGTGGTGTAGATTTGACGTGCCTTGTGGTTTACTTCTTCTGCGCTCAGTGTGGCATAGGTTCAAGGGCTCAGGGTTTCAGGGTGTAGAAGTCTCGATCTTCTAATGTCCCTAAACCGTAAACCCTAACCCTAAACCCAAATTAAACCCTAAACCCTACACCCGAAACCCTAAACCCTAAACCCCTAACCCCTAAACCCTAAACCCTAAACCCTAAAACCCTAAACCCTAAACCCTAAACCCTAAGCCGCCAGTGCTCGCCGCAGATCCCAGGCATGGTTTCCAGACCGAGATCCCGCGCTCGGTGCTTGTGGTCTACGACTCTCTCCAGGTCGACCTAGGGTTTAGGGTTTAGGGTTTAGGGTTTAGGGTTTAGGGTTTAGGGTTTAGGGTTTAGGGATCCTCAACTTTGAAGCCTGAACCCTCAACCTCGTGCTTTTAAACCCAAGGCATAATGGTTATTTG